GAGCGCCGAGCAGGGTCGCGCCCGCCCCGCTGCCGGAGGGACGAGGAAGGCGCGCACCGGCGAGCGCTCGGCTAACGACGGCGCGTGCGGGAGGAAGACGCGCGGGCCTGAGGAGGGGAGAGGGGACGGGGAGGGGAGGGAGGGGAGGAGGGAGGGCGGGCCACCAGCAGAGAGAGGCAGCGCCGCGCCTGCGCGCTCGGTTCCGCCCGCCGCTGTGGGCGCGCCGAGGGGGGAGGGCGGCGGGAGGATAGGGGGGCGGAGCTCCCGGGAGAGCCAATCAGACGCCGGGACGGAACGCTTAGGTGACAATCCGTTCCTCCGACGGGGCGGTGCCAGGCATGGGGGCGGGGAGAAGCGGGTATATGCAAAAGAAGTGACGTCCCGAGTGACTCCCGTCTCCGATTGGCCAGGGGTTTTGCCTTGAGGGCGGGCATTTAGAGGGTTGGTGACTTGGCTGAAGAAGACAAGCCGGAGGGGGCCCGTGTGTGCGCCTTGGTTGCGCGCATGCGTAGGGTACACGTGCGTCTGCTCGCCAGGACTGTGGCCTGGTAGGCGTTTGAACTTTCAGGAAAGAAAGAGATCGTGTTAAGCCAGCTGTGTTCAAGCTTGTCCCTCCTGCCCTGCTCTTTTCTGTACTTGCACCCTCGCTGGTCCGGCACCTATTTGCTTCTGAACAGGATGCTTTTGATGAGCAGTGGATTAGCACTTGTAGTTCCATTTGTGGAAGGATCTTTAATAAGCCAGTAGATACATGAAAGGGGGACTGATTTTTGAACTTCTTCCTGGACTAGATGTGTCTACCAGGGTCAGGTTAGATAAATCTAACCTTTTAACGCTAGCTAGCCCTTGTGAGATGGAGAATGGCTGGCAATGTGATTTAGTGGTACAGAGTTGAACAGACACATTATCAGCGCTGGGTTCCATCCACAACATCACAAAAGAAAACACACACATACACACAAAACCTCTTCTTTTCCTGGGCCTGTACCCTATCTGCACCTACTGATATATCTCCGGCCCAGAAAGCTTTTTGTTTGCTTGGGGGAAGTTATTTTCTTGTGAGACTGAGTCTCCCAGGTATCCGAGGCTGCTCTGAATGCCATCCATAGAAAAAATAATCAATGTATGATCTTCCTACCTCCACCTCCCAAGTGCTGAGAGTACAGACATGCACCACCCTGCCTATGTGATGTGATGCTGGGGATTTCCGTTCTTGCTACTCAGGCTCCCTCCCAAACTGAACAATGACCCGACACAGATTTTTTTTTTTTAATACATTAATCCACCTAGAAATCCCTCGTGCCTTGACTGGAGTTTTGAGTGGTAGCTACAGTTTAACTTTGGCTCCTATCTTGGATCTGAGGACAGAAAGGGAACGACCACAAGGCAGAAATGAGAACCAAAAATACTCCGTTTCCACCTAACTTGACTTTGGGACTCTGAGAATCAAATGTATGCTTCCCTATGAGAAGTGTGGTCTAGGTATGCTTAACTTCTGCTTCCTCTTAGGGGGAGAGGAGAAAGCTGTGACAACCACTGAGGAAACGACTCAGACCTAGATCTGTAGTCCCGTGGGAAAGAGAACCCTGCCAGCAAATGGAGAGATGCCTTTTCCATACCAGTTCCCCCTTGTCTTCCATTAGAAGTCCTACCCTAGTCATGGCTCTTGAAGATCTTAATTTCTGAATATATCGAAGGCTACATCAAGGCCCTTGTCTCAGGGTTTCTATGGCTGTGATGAAACACCATGACCAAAACGCAATTGGGGAGGAAAGGGTTTATTTGGCTTACACTTCCACACTGAGGTTTATCACTGAAGGAAGTCAAAGACAGGAACTCAAGCAGGGCAGGATCCTGGAGGCAGGAGCTGATGCAGAAGCCATGGAGGGGAGCTGCTTAATGACTTGCTTCCCAGGGCTTGCTCAGGCCACCTTCTTATAGAACCCAGGACCAACAGCCCAGGGATGGCACCACCCACCACGGGCTGGGCCCTCCCACATTGGTCACTAAATGAGAAAATGCCTTACAGCTGGATCTCGTGGAGGGTATTTCCTCAACCGAGGCTCCTTCCTCTGATGACTCTAGCTTGTGTCAAGTTGACACACAAAACCAGCCAGTACAGCCCTATAGCTGTAGCCAACAATAAGCAGACTTTCTCTCTGATCTCTCTCTCTTTCTGCTCTCGCTTTCTCTCTCCTTTCTCTTTTTTTTCCTCCTTTGTTTGTTTGTTTTTTCGAGACAGGGTTTCTCTGTGTAGCTTTGGAGCCTGTTCTGGAACTAACTCTGTAGACCAGGCTGGCCTTGAACTCACAGAGATCCGCCTGGCTCTGCCTCCCAAGTGCTGGGATTAAAGGCGTGAGCCACCTCCGCCCAGCTGTTTGATTGTTTTTGAGACAGAGTTTCATTATGTAACTCTGGCTGTCCTGGAACTCAGATTCACCTGCCTCTAGCTCCTGAGTGCTGGAATTAAAAGGTGTGTGCCACCACACCTGGATAATAAGTGGACATATCCGTCCCTTCCCCAACCTCCCAGGATGGATCCTGGGTGACTTCCTTTTGTGACACCACATATCTATCTTCCTGTGGTATTGGCCAAGTTCAACACTGCCTGACACCACCACCTTTGCTTAACATCTTTTACCAAAATGTCTTTCTGCTCTACTTGTCCCTTGTCGTCTTCTTTCCTTCTCTTTCTGCCCTTTCCTGTGCTCTCTCTTTCTCTTTCTTTTGTTTCTTTTCTTTTCTTTTCTTTTAGACAGAATCTCATGTATCCCAAACTACCCTTGAACTCCCTAGGTAGACTTAGCCAAGGACAATCTTGGACCTCTACCTCCCAATTAGCTGTTTTTTTTTTCTTTTAAGACAGAGTCTCACTACATGGCCCTGGCTGACCTGGAACTCAGGGATCTTCCTGCTTCTGCCTCCCTCTGCTGGGATTAATTGGGTCCTCATTTGGGACCACCACTATTTTTTACAAAGTTTGCTTCATGTGTCCTAGACAAGCACTTTACCAATGGAACCCGAGCCCTTTCTCCCTTTTTAAAAAAGATATATTTATTTTTATTTTATGTATGTGTGTGAGTGCATGTATGAAACTATGCACATTGGATCTCCTGGACCGGGAGTTGCAGGTGACTGTGAACCACCTGATAATGGGTGCTGGAAACTGGACACAGGCTCTCTGCAGGAGCAAGAAGTCCTCTTAGTCACATGGCCACCTCTCCAGGTGATTTCTCTCTTCCTTAAGGTCTAGATTCTTGATGTGTAGCCCTGGCAGGCCTTTAGTTAACACTCTGCCTCCGTCTCCAGAGTGTTGAGGTTATAGGCCTACACTACCAAATCTGTAGTTTATTTTTGTTGTTAGTAGTAGTGGTGGTGGTGTAGATCAATGTGTAGATGATGCACCTGTATCTTCATGATTTCCTTGGAAGCCAGTGGACACCGCCAGGGGTCCAGGCCTCAAGTATCATCTACCGTGTTTTACTTTTTCATTTGTATAAGTATGTATGTGAAAAAATGCCTTGGCATGTGTGTAGAGGTCAGAGGACAACTTGCAGGAATCTAGAGGATCAAACGCAGGCTGTCAGACATGGCAGCCAGCACCCTTATCCACGGAGCCATTTTGTCACCCCATCTTGTTTTTAGGGGCATAGTTTCTCACCGGGCTTTGGCGTGCACTAAGTCAGCTGGTCAGGGATCATCCCCGGCGACCCGCCTCCTCAGAAGTAGGGTTACAAGGGCTCCTGTCACCAGCCAAGAGGAGGGGGGCAGGGGAGACTCCCAGGAGCAACTCATGGGAACAGCTGCTGTTGGTTTCAGGGAAGAGAGTCAAAGAGGAAGGGACCAGTTTCGCACTGGAAGGATGAACTACAGGTGACACAACTCAGGGACGCCGGTCGGGCTCTCTATTGGCCTGACCTCAATCTCTTACACATGATGGAGTTTGGAAGCATGCCATCAATCACACTGTAAACTCGGGAGGGAATTCTGCTGTGTCAACCCTTGGCTGCAGTTCCCTCTCCGGGTTTGCTCAGGGCATCGATTCCTTCAGGACCATCATGGATAATTGATGGGGACCCACTTATTTGTATTTAGGTCTTGTCTTCCAGATTATTAAAGACTTGAAGGCAGGTATTACTCAACTTTGAGTACGGCGCAGTGTCGCAAATATAAGTAAATGCGCGTTTGGTAAAGGAAGAGAGTGGGATAGGAAGATGCCTCGGTCAGCAACTTGCTTTGAAAGCATGAGGACCCCGCGTTCAGTCTCCAGAACTCACATAAAAAGCTGGCTCCACAGGACCCTGAATCCTGCCGTGAGCACCCCCTCCATCCTCATCTGGCCCCCAGCTCCAAAGCATCCTTCAGCTCTTGCAGGAATCTTCACATCCATCTTCCAGTGTCCAGACCTTCTCCATCTTTAAAGCCAAACACATCTTCTCTTGTCCTTGCCGCTGGGAGAGAGGAAGTGGTGACTGGGGCCATTCTAAGGTGTTTCAGCAAGTCTGGGAGGGGTTTTGCTGTTTGTCTCTTTTTGAGACAGTCTCATGTGTGTATAAAGTGAGGACATGACCCCTCGAAGGCATGGTTGAAAGGAAGGTCTTTACTGTGGATATGAGGGAGAGGACACCCAGAGGCATCTGGAAGAGTCCAGAGCAGAGAGAGGAAGTAGTAGATTGAACATGGCCATGAGCGGAGGCAAGGGTGGGAGGATGAAAGGAGGAGCCAGAGGGGCAGAGAGAGAAGAGCCGGGATGCCAGCATGGACTCTGTAACAGACGTTTACAATGCTGAGTGAACCTGGAGGCCAGCACGTGCATTGATATGCTAATAGGTACCACAGTTAGCCATTTGTCTCCAGTTTCTTTTGGACCTGACAATATATAGCCCTGGCTGGCCCGGAATTTGCTATGTAGCCCTGGCTAGCCATGACTCTGCCTTCTGAGTACTTGAACTTAAAGGCATGTACTACCACAACAGGCTTCTTCAAAGGTTCTTAACACTGTCCAATCATGGACATTTTCTCTCTGGGTCCTCAGAATGCCCAATTTGATGGACGTCAGTTATCCCCCATTCACCAGGGTCTGCTGAGCTCTGATATTCTGTGAGTTCAAAAGCTAGCAAGAGGAAGCTGAGCAGCCTCATTGTTGCCGGGCTCTTTTCTGCTGAGCTATTTGTTCCAAGTTCCATTCTGCTCCCTCGGCTGGACATTCCACCAGTGCTCAGCTCACAAGAATGCAGCACACCCTGGCCAGACAGCCTGGCAGGAAGCGGGGTGGCCGGGATCCTTCTTTCTAACATCTGTGAGGCGACTACCCCTGAGCGTTCTCCTTTTCCAACTGGCCTTACGGGTCTCCTCTTGGGGGTGGAGGTGGGGAAGGTGAGTGCCTGTGTCTCTCCTGAGGTCACCACCGGCAGAGTGTGTATCTGACCTTACAAAACCTTGGGCTCCCTTTTTTTTTTTGGTGTGTTTGATGCCCTGCTGATAGTCCCATGATTTCTAAGATATTCAATCACTTTCACTCATTCATTCATTCATTGGTCTAAAAACGTTTTATCAGTGTTTACTATATTTCCAGGCCCTGTGTTAGGAGTTAAGAAGGATGGGACTAGAGGGATAGGTCAGTAGTAAAGCCCTTGCCTAACGTGTGTGAGGCTCTGGGTTTGATCTGAAACTTGAATTCCTGATCCTTCTATGTGCTGGTCAATTTTCTTGTTGACCTGATACAAGCTGGGGTCACCTGGGAAGAGAGGACCTCAGCTGACAGGATGCCTCCATCACATTGGCCTATAGGCATGTCTGTGGGGCATTCTCTGGATTAATGGTTAATGGGGGGGGGGCAGCCCACTGTGGGCAGTGCCACCCTGAGCAGATGGTCTTAAGTTGTACCAAAATGAGCAAGCTGAAATGTGCCGTGAGGAACAAGCCAGTAAGCAGCATTCGTCCATAGCTTCTGCCTCCGTTCCTGCTTCCGCCCTGCTTGTGTTCTTTCCCTGGCTTCCCTCGGTGATGGACTGTGACTGGGCATGTGAGGCAAATACACCCTTTCCTCCCTCCCCCAGTCACTTTTGGTCACAGTGTTCATCACAGCAATGAAAAGCTAAGCAGGACACCATGCCTCCACCTTCCACTTATGGTTGTGTGTGCCACCACACCGGGCTTTCTTTGGTTTGCTTGTTTGGTTTAATTTGGTTCTGTTTTCTCCAGGCTGGCCTCAAAGTCCTGGGCTTGAATGCCCCTCCTAGCTTGGTATCCTGAATAGCTAGGACTATAGACATACTTGGCTGTTTAACTGTCTTAGAACTAATAAAACTTTTTTTTTTTTTTTAAGTATGTGTATGTTGCTGGCTAGTTTTGTATCAATTTGACAAGCTGGGGTCATCAGGGAGGAGCGATCCTCAGTTGAGAAAATGTCTCCATAAGATTAGGTTGTAGGCCAGCCTGTAGGGCATTTTCTTAATTAGTGATTGATGGGGAATGCCTGGCTGTAGTGGGTAGCCATTCCAGCTTTGATCTGGAAGTTCCAACCCCCACTGAGGCTTCGGTAACTGTCACACCTACAAGGCAGGGCTGAGAGAGGACTCTGAAGACCCGAGATCCTGATGCACTGGCTCTCTTGGTTCCTGGACCCTGGACACTGGAGGTAGATGGAGCAGAGTTCTCCAGAGAACACCGTGGGACTATGCTACACCTTTCCCAGACCCTGTAACC